TGCCGATATTGGTCCGATTCTAATCCCAGAATTTATCATGATGTTCATACACAGCAGTCACAAAAATTAAATGTTTGGGCTGGTATTTTTTTCGATTATTTAGTTGGTCCTTTTTTCTTACCTGGAAATTTGACCGGTGAAATGTATTTGGAATTACTGGAAGACGCCATAGATCCTGCATTAACAGCCATAATTGAAAATCAGAATGATCGGCGGTACATTGCGAATAGGTTGATGTTCCAACAGGATGGTGCCCCACCACATTACGCATTACGTGTTCGACAATATTTAGATCAGACGTTTTCAGATCAATGGATTGGTAGAAGAGGTGCCATTGAATGGCCCCCAAGATCGCCAGATTTATCACCTTTGGATTTATTTATGTGGGGTCATTTAAAAAGCAAAATCTATGCTACTCAGCCAACATCATTAGAAGACCTACGATAAAGAATTGTGAATGAGTGCCTTATCTTAATTATTGCATGGAGAGTCATTTTAAACATTTACTTGCCTAACGGGTCAGTTGATTCTTCATTTTTAAATTATTATGCTGCCAAATGTATTGATCTCCACTAATGTATTAGTTTTATTTAAGCTTTAAATCAATAAACCTTCAAAACTACGGAACTGAAGTACATTAGTTTTATATCATTATGAAGGGAATTGAAAGACCTTTGAAATAAGGTCATCACTCTCTATTTAAGATTCTGGGGGTGGTGTCACACCCGCTTAGGGGGCTGCACGTGCTAACGTGATTTTTCGCCAAACCTGTGTCCCCCTCGAAAACAAAATCGACGGGTCTGAGCGTTTTTCAAAAAAAAAAAAATGAGCTGCCAGTAAATGCGTCTGTTTCGTTTTCGATGCGCCACCCTGTATAGCAGATATAGCAGTCGACAGGTGGTTATTGCGAGTTGCAGACCCTCGGAGTTTGAGTGGAAAGACTGTAGAAATTAAGCTGTCGAACTTTTTCGCCTGATAGAGGCGATGCTTTCCGTTGTTATTTAATATTCGTTCTTGGACCCTTATGGCTCAGTTTGATAGAAGGTTGCGTCTAGTAAGCTTAAAAGTAGGGTTTATTGCCATCTGTGTTGTTAGTTTTAATGTTGTCTTCTGGGATACTTAGGAGTAAGATTGGGGTATATGGAATATAGTTATAGGTATGTGTGTTGATTCCAAATTCTTAAGTTGACTGAGGCTCATAATGATATTTCATATAGAAAAATGAGACAGTATAATCATAAAATTTCCAGTAGTTGTAGCCAGAGAGTAAAGAAAACGTTGATACAAATTGACCAACGGATTCCAAGGGCGTAATAAAAGGGCGAGGCTTGTGATTTAAGTATTGTAGAGGTGCATAAGGGCCCGCTTAAGCGGCCTATGCACTGGCTCCTTATGGTGGCCGGGATGCCTCTAAAATTCAAGATTCATTCATTCATTCATAAAATGGGAGGTCACTGAACTATAGTGTACCGAAACAATTATCGAATATTATACTTGATCGTTGGAGTCATTTTAATCATTCATGCTCTTTTTATTTAAATATTTATTGTATTGTATTTTACATACTTCACCAGATTCCCAGATTATATATGCGCCCATTCCGTTTTAGTTTAGCAAAAACAACCGTTGCCGGGTATTTTCAACGTTATTCAAAATCTGATTGTGCCAGGGATAGTGCACATACTTGGCAGGATTTCCATTCAACTCTTGGTTCTACTCGAGCGGAAGTATTTTCCATTACAAATTAAGAAACTCTTAATGCCTTCGGCACTATTTTTTTATTCTTCAATCCTTGGTCTATTACGATATTCCAGTTATATCTTCGGATGTATTGTCAGAGAAATAAATAGGTTGCGAGCACCCCCGGATACAAGAGCGAAAACGAGGGGACAAAACTTGAGATGACGTAATTGACCGCTTTGCTCTCTCCAGACGCAGATCAAATGAGGCCGAATGGGAGGAAAATGGATAGGCTATGTGTTTGGGCGGGAGGCTTCGTGAATGTAAAATTAGTCTACTTAATGACCTGTATATAAAAGATATTGAATTACATTCGTTTGGATATAAGACAGCAGTGCAGCATTTTCCAGTTCCAAATGGCTTTTTCCCTTTCTACACAAACTTCAGCCCCGGCCACCGAATTTTTTATATTCGAGTAGCCGAGAAGGCACAATCTAAATACACTGGAACGTCGACTTCTGATGAAGTTAAAGAAACCTGTGGCGTTGGTACAAGTACTGAATTCTCCTGGTGAATTGTTCAATATTCTCCTCACTAGAGAAATAAGGTGAGGTCGTACTAGACTGTTTTCCATTTGTAAACACCCCTAGAATGTAGCACTATGATGGAGGGAAGTTTGAACGAACCACTTGGCATATCGGTAGAAAAAGATCGGCCATCTATCCATGTGAAAGATGTCTGAGAATACTTATTTGTTGTCAGACAACATATCAAGTATAGGCAGTATAGTTGGGAAGTTTTAGGAGACATGAGAGCAATACTCAAAATCAAGCGTTTTTTGCATTCTGTATAGAGTAAAAGGGATTAGATGGTAAGTAGTACTTTATACTTCTGTACAGTTAATCAAGCATCTCCCTAGTTGTTGCAGTCACTAAATTATAGCTTCAACAAATTTTAATTCTTGCCAGCTGGAAAGAATTACTTCATCGAAAAGCTCGACAATTTATCAAAACTTGATGTTTACGTATTTCGTATTAGATGAGGTCTTAGCCATGATTGACATTTATAACGCAGTTAATGCTGGAATCACTCATTCAGAACGTCGCTTCCAAAATGGCACTAAAGCTACTCGGTGACTACCCATCAAACCCGTTCCGAAGTCGTTGACATTAAATATAACGTTTACCTGAAGAACTGGTACTGCATAAAACTGGCTATGTTATTCAGGCTGTTGTATTACTGGTAATGATTTTATGCAGTCTGCTCAAAGCTGGATAAATTCACATCAAGCGATATAATTGAAATTGTTCGTTCGAATGTAAAGATGTAATACCGATAACAAACTTATTGTATTGAGCAAGAAATTGTAATCAACTAATGGATAAAATACATTTCAACTCGTTAACATTTCTTTTTATTTGCAACCATTAGACTAAAGTTATAGTATATTTGAACGAAAAGGGAGAATATGTCATAATTATACTAAACTATATTATGTATAATGATAATATGAACCAAGTTTATTTTTAGTAAAAATTAGAGGGTATTTTAAAGATCCAACAACGTATAATATAAATAAAATAGAAAATTTAAATAATATATAGATATACTCAGTGACACACCAAGAAAAAAATAATTTCTTCAACTTGTTTTTTGGCAACATAATAACTATTTCTAAAGCATGCTGAGGCAATGTCAACGTTTTATCTTTGTTTTTGTTTACCCTTGTTAACATGTTATCTCTTAGATTTTGGGCAGACATCAGTTTCTGAGAGTAGAGTAGTACAGATATTCTTAGTTATTGCCCTTTCATTTACTAGTGTTAAGTATACCAATATGCCTCGACTTCGAAGACGCCCAAATTATCACCATGTTAGCGATGTTGACAGGGGTAGAATTGCCTATCGAGATGTTGGTTTGTCCTATCTGTTCCCACGAAATTTCACATATAACGTTGCTGCAATATATAATTATTTGGACAGTACATTTAAAACCATGAGTTTACCACGTTTCGGCTACAATGTTGAGTTATTTGAACGATTAACTTTTTCCTCAATACTTTATAGATCTGTTTAGAGTAGCAGTATGTGCACACAAAATGTCTAATTTTTCACTTCTCACATGGGTTATTGGATTTGCTGTTGAGAGGCATGTACACAGGACTGTTGGAGTAAAGGTTTAGAGGGCTATTGCCTATGGTAGCCGATCACCCCTTTTCTTTGTTCAAGGCATCACGACTATTGCGCGTTATATTGATGATGTCCTACAAACCGTTTTACTCCCGTATCTAGAGGACCGTCCACACGTCCTTTTTCAGCAAGACATCGTACGTCCCCATATGCTTGTCGTACTACTGACATAAATCCCATCGAGCATGTGTGGGATATGATGGGGAGGAGACTATCCACCATCCGCCACAGACTATGCCACAACTAATCCACGTAGTTTGACTTGCTTGGAATGAGAAGCCACAACCAGACATCGATCATCTCATCCTGAGAATGTTATAGTTTTATTCTTGATGCAAGACCACCTCATTGGCAAAAAAATTAAGTTGAGGAAATTATTTTTTCTGGGTGTAACACTTCTAATGTCACTGAGTATATTTTATTTATAACTTGCCAACAATCTTGAAAAATGAGATAATAATAAGTAAAAAAGAAAAACGAAAGACAAACTCGAATGAAAATAAAATGTAAAGAGAATTGAGAAAGAAAAAACAAAAAAAAAAATAACGACACTAGTAGGCCAGCGTGAACCCTGAGGTCAGCATTATATTCGGGCCAGTTTCACCACATCTAATTAAAGATAACATCCCGTGTAGCATATTAGATTTATTAGGTTACATGTCAGATGTAGAAAAGGCATTTATGAAATTGGCCTCTGAATTTTGACTATCTGCAATAATTATCAATAAAATATTAATTGTTAGAAAACAGGTATTCTATTAGACATAAGCAGAATTGGCAATCGAATTAGATTCTTATTAGAGTTACAGAATTCATGGAAATGCATTATCTTCTCAAATGTGGGCTGCTCCATCTACAGTAATTGCGATGTACTCTTCATTTCAACAAGCACACATCCATGCTATCCTGATCCAAGCCTTCGTTTTGCAGTTGAGATTCTAAATACTCTTCAACATTTCGTTGTCTTAACTTCTTACATTCCTACATATCAGTTAGGTTCATTAGTAACAATATCAATACATTTGAAAAAAAAATATCTACTAACGTTTCTTGTGTCTTTGTTAGAACAAAACCAAGAATTGGCCACAGCTGAAACTGAATTCTTAAACTGAATGCAAGAATAGTCCATACCTTATGCATAGGGGTTCCCCAAAAGTCGTTCAAGAAAACGTTTATAAGCGGAGTATGCGGTCGAAGATCTCTGTTCTCCTTGATGGCACTGATATCGTCGAACACAAATCCGCAATAGTAACTGTTGTGATAGCATAGCACACATGTCAATACAATAACCACACTCAACACATAGTTCAAAGCCATGTTCAGCTAAAAAGAAAATAAGAGGGATTGTAAAGGTTGGGCAAATGTCCAGAAAATTGAGGTATGCTACATTTAGGACGAAGTAAGGTTTTTGTATTTGCACTAAGTTTGGGTTTAGTAACCGAAAACGATAGGTTAGTCGATTTTTTTTAACCAACAGGTGGATCATATGTTTTTGCGAGTTTATTATTCATAAACTCTTTTGTAATTCTGGGTGACAATTCTTTATTTTCTGATATTTGAAGAAAATAAATGCCATATTGAATTTAGTATTGGAGTGTATGTGACACACTTTACTTTCTGCATGGAATAATGAATGGATTTTTTTTTGAACGATCATTTCACGTTTTGCTCTTTTCAAACATGAATGGTTATTATTCGTCTTTTATATGCTAGTTAACGCCTGGCATTGAATTTTAGTGACATCCACTTTTCTATAATAAATGTAGAGTCGGAGATCATGAATGACCTAAAATACCAACATGACTGCTTAGAAGCTTTGTTTCACTGTATTATGTCTCTTCAATAAATTTATTTTTTCTTATTCATTTACTGTTCTTTTAATTTCCAATTGAACTTGCAGAAAAAGTGAATTGTGGTTTACCAGTAGTGGGTAGTTACACATATTACCAACATTTTGTGCACATCAGGTACTATGCTGTTGAAAATGACATTGCAGTATATAAATGTTCTCAGAACACAAAGTCATTGCTCCAAAAGTATTCACATATTAGATATCATGTTTACTTGGAAAGAGCTTTCATTTTTGGAATACTCGTACCCGGATCTCTGTTCTCAAATCCAGTTTGACACAAATGTTTCAGGATATAACTATGTATTATCTAGCCTCCCAGAAGTAACTTAGAAGTCTCTAGTCATAACTGGAAATATATTTGTTGAGGAATTTACTGGAAAACGGGTCCCATTCTTGAAACTGTTGGATCTCTGTACATAAATTCAGTTTTATAGAACACTTCTAGGATCCTATGTACAAAGTTAGCCTTCTAAATGTATGTTCAATGTCTTGTAATAACATTATGAATCAGCTGTACGCTAAGGCTAACGATATTCACACGAAACATGTCACAAATGTAGCACTTCTATATAACCATAAACCACTGGACATTTACAAAACCCTATGTCAAGTTATCCGATAAACATCATGTCCCTGGCAGCCGGGAAACAATCGAAATCATGGTGTGCCGTGACCCGACCACGGCGGCCTAGTTTCCGCGGGAAATAACCGACGATCAACGACAGATGACGCGGTGTCGTGCCTACTTGAATCCGATCTGTCCATGCCGTCGTAATCGAAGGTGCATTGTGGACTGTCAAATGTTAGATTTTCGCTAACGTCTTCGCAGCACGGCTACGTTTGTATCACTGAATGTGTGCTGGCCGGCGCGGCGGAGGGTATCTGGTACAGTTGCCCCGATCTGAGGCGAAAAGACTTGTGCGCACGTGCGGTATCACGTGTCATCGAGCGGTTAGCAATGGCGGAACAGAAGGGTATATTGAGGGTATTGTTAAGTGTGTTTGGGTGCATTGGGTTGAAAAATCGTCGGAGTGCGAGAGTGAACTAGTAGCGCGATGCGGTACTACTCACTGTTATCAGACATACGTTTCATACGCATGGAATAACAGGTGAATATACGTGAAAAGAACTTGGATGATCTATTGCAGTGGGTTTAGGTCAACGATCACCGATGAGCCCAGTTTTACGTTAAATATTTTTTTATTTATTGCCTATTAGACATGTATAAAACATGCACAGGGATATCCAAATTTATCTGACGGTTTGAATTCAATGTGTACTCATGTTAGAAAGAGATAGAATCCGACTGAAGAGCGAAAGTCATCACTACATTGCCTAGCAACGGTGACACAGAAAATCGTGCAGTCTGCGGCGTAGCCAATAGGTTACACCAGAAAATGTTCAGACAGGCTGCTACAATTGGTTAGGTTACTGTCAAACCCAAGAAGGAGCTTTCTGCGAACATTTAATTCAATATTTTGTTCTCATTTTGATCAGAATTATTTATTTCAATTGTAATACGACTTAGTGCTTTAATTTATTTTAGAATTATTTTTGATTTCCACCCATAGTGATAAAATCAACACATCCCGAGTTATTGTTACATTTTACCACAACGAGCGGTCGGAAAATGTAACAAATCACGTTACGCAATACAAATTATCACAACCTTCGTGTACGCAGGTGAAAGCCATTTCGATGTGTACTGGCCAAAATCAAGGTGCGGCGTTATCAAATGAACCAATGTTGCAGAATTTGTGGCGATCCTGACCTTTCAATTCGACGTAAAATGGAGCGCTGTTAGGAATCATCCGGAATCGATCCTAACACATGTGATTATACACACTTCTTTCTCGTACACATTGAACTCGAGCCGTCAGACAAATTTGGCTCTCAGAGTATAGGGTTCGTCAGGAGAAATAATTTACAGTGTATACATCTAAAATACAAAGAATGAAATATAACAACAAACAATAGCTAAAATTAAATATCTAAAATTGGAAAATGTCTCCAAAGGCAAACAGTAAGCATATGATACGATACATTAGCTTGCCAGCAGTTAAAATAGAGAAATCAACAAAGATACTTGCTGTTAGGTAATGATTTTTGGGCAGTGTGAAATCTTACATCTGTTGATTTTTACAGTTTAGATGCAGTTAATTCTCCACAAACCTGTTATTAACACGTTCGCCGTCACTGACGGCATATCACGTCAATGAACTGTTTTCTAGCGGGGCACTGAGAAATGTTGAGGTGTGCTCAAAATGTCACGTTGATAAATTATTTCATATCAAACATAGAAAAGTGAATCAAATAGCATTCAATCAGGAATTTTTCACACATGCAGATATGATGAAAAAAAATCATGCGGTATATGACGTCATGTCCCCCTACGCACCCATTTCACTCACGTGGGATACTTGACGGCATATGCCGCATGCGAATAGCTGCTTGTTTAACTCATTTAAATTACCTGTTTTCTATTGAAGTCATGAACAATAACAAGAGCAGTACAGAAACAAGTTTTATTATGAATAAGTATGTGTACAAACACAAAATAAATACATATTCCTTAAATTTTATTCATTGTCAAACAGCAAAATAAATATTTAGGTACTTTCAATATAAGCGATCAAGCTTTATGCCAAACCTGAAAACAGTCTCCAACACAAAGAGATGGTTTTCCTATACAATCACGGCATTGCCATGCAGTCTCCTTCCTCCTTTGTTCTAGGTAGCACTGTTTACCGCGTTTGTAAATCTTTTGTTTACCTTTTTTGTTTTCTGGCACAGGTATAGCCTCCAAAACGTGGCCCAAATTTTCTCTACTTTTTTTGGATGGCATAGACTTTGTTTTTTTCATCAAGTTGACAAATTCCCTTCCATCTCTCTGATCCGGAGAGATCCCAAGTAAGGATTTCATTAAATCATTTCGGAACTCTTTGAACGTCTTGTTATCTTTGTGGCTATGATTATATAAATAATGGGAATTCCAGACAGCTATATCAAGAAGATGAAATATAACCTTTTTGTGCCACCTGATTGTTTTTCTAGGACATGAATAATAGCTAATCATTTGATCTGCACGATCAATACCTAACATATTGTCATTATAGTAACTGACCATTAGTGGCTTGGTTTTTTTATGACCATACCTGTTTGCAGTTTCAACCAATTCAGGCTTATAGCCCGTCATGATGGATAAGACATCACGTTTGTCGCGCCATTTGGAAACATACACATTTCCCTTTCTTCTCCAAATATGCTGCCCAGATTTCAACTTGGCTCCAGTAACCTCTTTGGGATTACCTTTTCTATTCGAGCGTAATGTCCTCGTGCTGTGAGTTTTTCTTTGCAATAGGATTTCCGATAACTGGACACTGTTATAAAAGTTATCCATGTATATATGGTGGCCTTTATCTAGAAATGGCTCCAGAAGCCTAAGAACTAAAGAATTTATTTTAGAACTGCCCCTGACATCTTCTCTATTAGATTTACCTTTATAAATTTCTATATTTAGGACATATCCGTCATTGGAACACAGCTCATAGAACTTAATCCCATATTTACTTTTTTTGTTTTTTATGTAAACCCGAAACCGTAATCGGCCTCGGAAAAGTAACAGTGATTCATCTAGAGATAAGGCTTCTGGCGGAGAAAACATATTTTGGCTTGACTTAATGATAGATTTCACAAGCCAACTAACTTTATAGAGATTATCCTCCTTATTTTCATCATCTGCACAATTCAAGCACCTCAGAATCTGTTCAAATCAACTACCTGACATAGTAGCCGGGAATATCGGATGATAATTGAGAAGATCCATTGAAAACATGTCCCTAATAGACTTGAACTTCAACTGGCCAGCAAGGAGACACAAACCGAGAAAACCTTTCATTTCTTTTACGGAAATATGTTGAAATGTCTTGAATCGCTCGTTTCTGGACTTAGGCCTATTGCCCACAAATAATAATTCACCATATTTATTCGACTTTTGAACAATGTAATTAGTCACATCCACAGTTCAAATTTTTTCAAAAACCTCAATTGGAGAAGTGCCTGCTAGCTGTTCTTTCACACCAACTGATATGGAATCTAAGGAAAACTCTAAACAATCGATTATGTTATCTTCCCATTTTTGTTCATCGTTGTCTGGATCTAATAGAACATCGATATCATCAGAGCCCTCGCTATCGACATGTCCTGACGGCAAATCAACTTGTGATTTAGGTTCTTGCCGTTTACGCTTTTTTCGTGATGTTCCAGCTAAAATTTTCAAATAAACGTAACTAATGTGTATGGGAAAAATGCGCATCAACTTACGCTCATCATTGTTTGGAGTATTCTCGTATTCTGAATCAGTACAAGAGTCTGAGTCCTGTTGCATATATTCTGGATCAGCAATGGAGTCATCTGTACTATATGGATCATGTCTGCTTTCATCTTCGCTCTCACACTCTTCATACCAACGCATCCACTGCTCTCTATATTTATCGTCCATTTTGCTGTAGCTCGAATGCATAACGTACATCCGCTCTCGATAACGAACAGACTCATACTGCCAACACGTATACGTATGACTACCGATGTCCGAAGATGTACCCCTCCCCCTCTTAAAAAAAATCTACTTCACTGATTATTTGGCAATAGGTTTCCAGCGGGACACCAAACCTCCTAATATACGCAGAATTGACGTGATGTACAGCAAAATGAAGTTAGGTTACTATATGTAGTTGACGGCAAGTGCCGTCACTGTCCCAATAGGCACACTGACTAGTGCGGCTTATAGCGTCAGCGCCTCATTAGGCACACACTAGCCACATAGAGTGTCCGCGAACGTGTTAAGATAGCGACATCGTTATCCGATAGAATAATCCATATGTCATCTCCACATAAGGTAAAGGGTAATCTGGAGAAGGACTGCGCAGGTGTATTTGGATATAATACAAACAGAACAGGCCCCAGCACACATCCTTGTGGAACGCCAACAGCTATATTAATCCCACTTGACGTGACTTGTATTTATTACTTGTCCTAAGAAGTTGTGAGATATTGTAACATACTGCGGGACATGCACCGAGACCGATGATAGGGACTACGTTCAAGTTATGGCTTGCCGAAGTTATCATTGAATTTAGAAACAGACACTTACTAGGCTGTACGAAACGTCAAAGTCCAGCATAGCGCCACAGACGCAGGTTAACCTCACAACTCAACTTTGGACGGTACCTAAGCAGATTAAGGGAAAGGTCTCAAGAAGCAGCCTTCCTCTGCGGACATACCGGGAAGGATCTGTTATAACTGACTTCAAGGCTAAGGCAGACATTTTAGCTAAAATGTTTGTGATCATCGTAGAGGTATAACAATGCCGTTGATATCTCCGAGTTGCAAGGAAGTAATCTTCAGAAGTTGAGACTACCAAGCAGGTACTGTAGTTTCTCGACCCCAACACTTACTCTTTGCCATTATATCGAAGATATAGGTATGTGCATCGAATCTTGCTCTCGTCCTTCCACGTCTCTTTCATATTGTTTCCATCAATGACATATTCTTATTAGACTGGTAGTTTTAACTGACGAGTCTGATCTTAACGACCACAGGCCCTTGCTGTATGTGATCAGCAAAATGTTAATCATCAAAAGGTAGCTCCTAAAATATCTCGAGCATTAACGATGCATGCCTTCCGTCGTGAAGTGTGGATTTTCTGTTGCTCCTACAATTACTATTGTGTTATTAAGTCATTTGGTTAGATTCACGTCTATGCTGTTGGTATTGGTATGATATTTGCGTATGAGTTACTGACTTCCTTTCCGATTGTACGATATCCGTCGGTAACAGATTGTCTTCTCCCCACATTGTCAACACTGATGTGGGTTTTTGAATTATAACTCCAATTCA